TATTTTTTCTTTAACTTGACAAATCTTGTTTAGTTCTTCTTCGCTTAGTATATGCAGTAAACTATTTTTTGTTCATTCTAATTGTCTTTTTACGTTTTCTATTACATGAAAATTACCTTGATTTTCCAATTTAGTCAAATCCTCTTATGCTTCCAGCAACGCTTCTAACAAAGAATTATGATTTTCATATTCATAATCCTGATTTTCTAGTTCATAAGTGCTTATCCTTTCTTTCATTTCGCTTAATAATCTTTCCAATTCTGCTTCCTTATTCTGAATTAATTCATTTACTAATAGTTGTCTACCGTTCTCGTTTTCTACTGATGTTCCATAAAAAGGTTGACTATTTCTTCAAGAGTCTAAATTATAACGACTGCCGCTTTTAGTTCCTGGACAATTTTAGAACATTTGCTTTTTTTGGTTCAAGGAATTAATAAATAATCATCCGAACAACATATTCTTTCTAGACTTGCAGGAAGGTTTTCTAGACCTTCATTAATGTCAGTGTTACTAATGTCTAATTCTTTCAATTTTTTTGACTTTCCTAATGGCTTTAAAGAACCAAAGAATTGGTTATATTTACCTCCTCATAAGTATTTTCAACTTAGCAGATTATTAATATTTAGACTACCTAAATTAGCAATATTGCCAAAAGGCTTCAAGTCACTTTCTAAAAATTTATTGAGACCGATATCTACTGACTCAAGTTTCCTTAGGTTACTCAAAGAATTTAGAAACTCTGGATTAGTTAAAAGGTTGTCTCTAACATTTAATTTTTTTATTTTAGAGCAATTAATAATAATTAAATCGCTAACGCCACAGTCTCAAATAGTGCATTCTTGAAGTTGATCTAGATTTTCGAGTTTTACATTGTCTATGCAGTTGAAACTTCGTAAGAATAACCTTTTTAATCGCGGATAGTCTTTGATGATTAGCCAGCCTTGGAACTACTTCCGACTATTCTGATATTTTCTACTTCTTCTTTTTCTTCAGAATATTGCTTGTCGAATCACTCCTGATTATTAACCATGATTTTTTTTGAGTTTATATTGAAAATTATTATTTTTTAGGAGGAATTTCTATATTAGCCTGCAGTTTCTCTTGTGATTGTTCTAATTGTCATTCTAAATCAATTAACTTTTCACAGAAGCGGATTATTTTTTCTATCTCTTCTTCCGAAAGAATTTTGTCTTCTAATAATTTTTTGTCTAATTTAGCAACTTCATTTCTTGCTTGTTCATCACTCTTGTCTTTGATTATTTTTTTGTTGGCTTCAACAAAGTTTTCTACTAGTTTTGTTTGTTCATTGTTGAGATGATTTTT